GTCCTTTCTATGTAGTCTGTCTTTACTGTCCAGGTGCTTCACAGGTCATCTATTTAATCCTGGGTCTGATCCCACATTCATGTGCTGGGCACTTGGTGAGCTCTTTTATTCTGAATGAGTTATATAGTGCATTTCTTGTTGTTTCTTTTATCATCTCCCCTTTCTCTCCTCTTTCTGGAAACTTTATTGGCTAGCACTTGGACAACCTGGATGGACAGATCCTGTTGGAGAGTATTAGATAGAAAGCCTTCTATAGTTGGAGTCCCCAGATACCAGCATAGGAGGAAATTTGCTCTGAGGCAGGCAGTCCAGTTTCCTGTGGGTGGGAATGGGGCAGGGATTAGAATAGCCTGGTGGCACGGGCTGGGGACAGCTTTGAATGTGCAGGTAGTGGTTCACCTCCTGCCTAGTTCCCCAGATCTCTTGAGTTGTAAGCGCCCCCAGAAAATGCATATTGGGTCTCATCCTGAGCAGAGAGCTGCCTGGGTGTGGGGAGTAAGACATCTGGGGGTCTTCTCTCCCATACCACAACATACACTCTACTCATTTTTTTTTAAGGTTTTATTTATTTATTTTTAGAAGGAGAGAGAGTGAGGGAATCCCTGTCCCACGGAGTCCTTCTGGCTGTTGCTGATGAGAATAAGTCATTCCAGACACACTTGGTCAGCCAGGAGAAAAGGGTGGTGATTCCCTCTAGTGGAGAATGCCTTGAGCCCTTCTCTGAAGTGGCTTTTATTGAGAATGATATGCACAGGGGTATACAGCACATTTGCGTAGCTCTTTAATCAGTGTCAGAGGGCTACAGTTAACGGAAAACAGACATTGTTTACAGATAACAATAGAAGGAACCCATAGATCAGCCTTAAGTTAGGGTCTGTTAGACACACTGATGCCAGATGGTCATTAAGGCATGGCTCAGGGGCTCAGGAATTTTCTGCCCTGCCTTGAGGTTAAACACCTGGTTTTTCCTTATCAGGGCCATACAAAGCAGAGCAAGCTTCAGTGGACACAATGCATTCTTTTGGCCAGATTTCCCATGGGAACTCTCAGTGTTAGCATTGGGTCATGTCTGCCTCCCAGCATTCCCAGCATTCCCAGTGTTCTGGTCAAGACTTACAGGCCTCTTTCAAGGCCTGGCTTGCGTGGGGCTACAGTTCCCGATACCACACAAAGTGGTCCCCAATAGGGAGGGAGAAAGACCGGGAGAGAAACATCAATGTGTGGTTACCTCTCGTATGCCTCCTACTGGGGACCTGGTCCGCAACCCAGGCATGTGTCCTGACTGGGAATCAGACCAACGACCCTTTGATTTTCAGGCCGTCACTCAGTCCACTGAACCATACCAGCCAGGGCCAATCTACTCATTTCTGATCAATGCTCTCGCTCCACCTTTTGGAAGAAAATAAACATTAAAAATCCAATCAAGGGAGATGGGAGTAGGGACTGCTGGGCAGAGGGTGACCAAGGCACAGGCCAGGCTGTTGGGGTCTGCTATGTCATGGCAGAAGAATGAGGGAGGAGCAGGGTGGATTAGGTGAGTGGAGGTTGGGTGTTGGGCACATGAGCTCCTGAGGAGGCCATCAGAGTACAGGTGTGTGTGCCCGGCAAGGGCTCCCCAACCATCCAGGCAGGAGCAGGATGAGAAGTAGGCAGTGACCTGGGGCTGCTGGCCCTATAAGCAGGTTCCAAAGTCCACCTGGGTCCTTTGTCTCCACGACAGGCCACGTCCGGAGGACTGGCTGAGGGGCTCATAGACCATCTCTGGGCTCTTAATAGAGGAACCTGGAAAACAGGTGGCCTGCCTCCTCAGGAAGGGCTTCCCTCAGTCCTGGCTCTCCAGGTCACATCTGTAGTTCACTGGGTGGCCTTTATTTCTGAGTTGGCATGTATACAACAGGAATGACTTACAGCCAAGGGCTTCTGGGAGGTCCAGCCTGGCCTCTCCAGGGCCTTCAGGCACCATACTTGTTAATATTCCTCCTCCAAAACACAGGAATCCGTGAAGGTCTGGGTGCAACTGGGGTTCCACCAAGTCTACCCCTCATGATGGGGTGGTGGTAAGTACTGACTCATGACCTAAAGCTGAAGTAACTGCAGAGAGACTGCCAACACTGGCACAGACCCAGGGTGGGAACTCCACTGTGCCCTTGCCCTCGGAAAGGTCACCTTTGGGGCCAGGTTGAGCCCCTTGTGGCTTTGGCTGGGGACAGACCTCTCTGTTAGTTGACATGTCACACTCTGGTTTTTTGTGTCTAAGAGAAACCACCCCATTAGTCTATTTCCTGGGGTAGGGTGGGGGTTCTTTTTAGCCCAGCATCCCTGTGGGGCCTGAGAGCAGGTCTAGGCTGGACATGGCAGTGGACATGAAGTATATCAACAGCTTGTACTAGGAGTTTGTTTATGCATGTGTTTCTAGGCAGGTCCTTGTCTGTTGCTCTCTGTCTACCTGTCATCTGTCTTGGCCTCTTCAGAAGCAGTTGCCTTGGTCAGGATTTGTAAATATCTTACACTTGGTCTCTAGGAAATTGGCCCTTGGGTGAATTGACCTTCTTGGTTCTGGCCACTTCTAAGGGCTTTCTCACTGCCAGAGGCCACCAAACCAGGGTCTGCAGAGAGGAGCCTGGCCACATGCCCTACCCCAGTGCTGAAGCCACTAGGGACCTCTAGGAAGCTGTTTGATCTCTCAGGGATTGGTGTCCTCCACTAGGGGCTGAAGGTGTTATATGAAGGGACTACCCTGAGACACCATCTGTCTTGGACACCCTCACCCTTTTCAGTCTTGTTCCCAGGGAGGCACCATGGCCCTGCTGAGTATACACACAGGAGCCAGCTCCCTGCCCAACCACTATTTACCCCATGATCAGCTAAGAGGTCAGTGTGAAGTGACATTTGTGACAGAGGCCTGAGAGGAAGCCATGTCTGCAGAACAAGTCTGCCCTGGGTAGTAGCACTGGCTGAGGTCTAGAGCGTAAGCCAGGGTCAGCAGTTGACATAGAGAGGGAAGAGGGGCACAGCTTGTGCAAAGGCCTTGGGCTGTCTCCAGGAGCCAGGAAGAAGGCCAAGAGGAGGTCCCAATAGTCAAAGAGGGACTAGGAGGACACAGGTGGACCTCTGTTCTCACAAGGGCAGCCAGAGCTACTGAAGTGTGTTCTACAGGAGCTGGGGATTCAGACTGGGGCGATAGGCTATCCCCTCTGGAGGCTTTGGAACATGAGCTGTTGCAGAATCCAGGAGCAAGTGGTCACTGCTGGGCTAGGGCGTGGCACATGGGCTAAGGCAGAGCAGAGGGGGCTCTGTCAGGCTCACCCTTCAACCTAGCCCAGGCGGCAGCTGGAAATGTGGAGCCATGACCTGAAGTGGAGAGCAGATATAGGAACTCAAGCTTCAGGAGGAGTCAGGAGTCAAGATGCCCATCTCACTCTTTACTCGCTCCTAAGAAAGCAGCTGAGTCCCTTCCCCAACCTTCAAGGGCCCCTCAACTCCTTAGGTGCTCTCTGTCCAGGCCCTGTCCCCACTTGTCTGGCTGAACCCCTCAGTGGTAGCACCTAGATCCGCCCTGCCCAGCCTCAGTGCTCAGCACCAGCCCATGGAGGCCAAGGGGACTGTCCACTAGCACACAGCTGCCCTGTCTTCCTCAGCAATCTGGTATAGCAAAACAAGTCTTACCGTTTGCCCCTCAGAGCCATCAGCACGCTGCCTCTCCTGCATGGGCCCTGCCAGAGGTAAGGGGAGGGAATAAGCCCCCTAAAGAAGGTGCTCAAAACTGCGACTCCTAGTTTCTTGGATGCGACCTCTTCAGGCTGGAGTAACCGTCCACTGGTATCTCACCACCTTCGCCCTTTTCGGTGATATGCCCATCCCCAGGAACCCTTACCCCTAGTCAGATCAGAGCAATGCCAGCAGACACATCAAGGTGCCTTCTGTCCCAAGGCTTTCCAAGAGGGCAGTGTGAGCGGTGGTGGATGAGCTGGGTGCTCTTGTTGGGCCTTAATGAGGATGGGCAGTGTGGGCGCACTTTCATATTGCCACCCAGGGGAGTGCTGGGGATGGGGGAGGTCCAACCTGGATCTTTTCCCCCAAGAGTGGTGTGTGGGGCCCAATGGGCTCCTGTGTCTCACTCTTAAGGAAATTCCAGGCTGCCCATTCTAGGCCCTGGTTCTCCTTGTCCTGAGGCCCACACCATCATGCACAGTTAACCAGCTCTGCCAGCCCTAGAGGAGGAGTCTCTTAAGAGTAGCTGGCAGAACCACACACACACACCAGGCCTGTCACGGGAACATTTGGAGGCTGGCCCCATAGCTCACAGTGTCTTGCCACTGTGGGGCCAGTCATAGCATGCTCTGCAGAAACATGGACCATGCTTGGCACCTGTCACAGGGGAAGGGTAGTGTGCAAAGCCTTCCTTGAGTCATTTCTCCCATCATAAGGACACTTCCCTTTTGTACAGTGGGGATGTGACTTAATGAGGGATGCCCAGTTCTGTGGAACTGGAGCAGTTCTTGGGAGACAGTACAAATTACAAATTATAGCTCACTCAGGGAATCTGGGCGGGGGGGTCTCCTGGTGCTTCTCAGAAGCCTGCGATTGGCCCTGTGAGAGGCCCCTGACCCAAGCCTGCCTATACATCCTACAGCCTGAGATAATGAGTGACTTCTGCTGAGTAAGCCTTTGGGTGGCACTGCGCCTGCCACTAGGGACAGCTCTTTAAACTACTGGTTCTAAGCAGCATGGGCTCTAGAATCACCCTCCTCCATCCCCAGCAAGGTAAAGCCAGGTTGTTTCTCCCCAGGTATGAGCAGGCAGGAGAGCATGCATGAGACTTCGGGGAAGGCCTCCAGAGACCAGATCCTGGGCCTTTGGGAGGGCACCAAGGCTGGGCCCTGCAGAACACGATGGCGCTACAGTCAGACTTGAGGTTCCAGCCTCTTCCCTCCTTCGCCCAATAATGGTCCCCTTGCATTCTGAGTCTTCGCCTTACCCCAGTCCCTATCTCATTGCAGGAAGTTCTACTACATCACCCTGCTGCGAGACCCTGTGTCCCGCTACCTGAGTGAATGGAGACATGTGCAGCGTGGGGCCACATGGAAGACCTCTCTGCACATGTGTGATGGGCGCACGCCCACACCCGAGGAGCTACCATCGTGCTATGAAGGCACAGACTGGTCCGGCTGCACACTGCAGGAGTTCATGGACTGCCCCTACAACCTGGCCAACAACCGCCAGGTGCGCATGCTGGCTGATCTGAGCCTGGTGGGCTGCTACAACCTGTCCTTCATCCCTGAAGGCAAGCGGGCCCAGCTCCTCCTGGAGAGTGCCAAGAAGAACCTGCGGGGCATGGCCTTCTTTGGCCTGACAGAGTTCCAGCGCAAGACACAGTACTTGTTTGAGCGGACGTTCAACCTCAAGTTCATCCGGCCCTTCATGCAGTACAACAGCACCAGGGCAGGCGGCGTGGAGGTAGATGAGGACACCGTCCGGCGTATCGAGGAGCTCAACGACCTGGACATGCAGCTCTACGACTATGCCAAGGACCTGTTCCAGCAGCGCTACCAGTACAAGCGGCAGCTAGAGCGCAGGGAGCAGCGCCTCCGAAGCCGTGAGGAGCGTCTGCTGCACCGAGCTAAAGAGGCCCTGCCACGGGAGGACTCCGAGGAGCCAGGCCGGGTGCCCACGGAGGATTACATGAGCCACATCATCGAGAAGTGGTAGTGGCAGCCCCAGGAGAGTCCCTTAGGGACAGTAAGGGGAGGGGAGTTGAAGTCAGACAGACAGATGGTTCGCATAGGGCTGCCTGCCCACTACTCTGATTGGAAGAGTCCCAGACCTGCTTACCAGAGGGTGGGAGCTTCCTGAACAAAGACCAGGGATAGTCAGTGCTGGCCCAGTAGGGCTGGTTCTCATGGTTTCTCCCAGGCCTGGGGTCTAGGTAACCCACCTGTATCACACCCATTGGCTCAGAGGAAAACGTTCTTGAAGGATGCCCCGGTAACGGCTGCACAGATCAGGTACAGGTGGCATCCCTGCTCTCCAGGCCCCCACCTCACTGTCAGAACAGCTGAAAGTATGAAGACAAAAAGACAGTGGAGCTGAGAGTGGGGAGCGGCCCTCCCAGGACAGGAGTATCCACGCCCACTACATACTTACCCACTCTCCTCGCATAGGCCATTGGGGGTCCTCAGGCTAAAGTGATCCCAGCAGCCCCTCAGCCTTCAGTGGCCCCATTGCCCCAGGCCTGTATGAAGCCCCCCTCCCTGGGAACATGGCAGCCCTTTGAGGTGTTATCAGGAATGGAGCTCCACATTTGCCCATCTTCATTGTCAGAGCCACCCATCTAAGGCCGAGAAGATTATTCCAGCCTTTGGGAAGTTTCCTTCTCTCTCTGGCTCCCTGCTTTGGGTCAGGAGATCAGGACACACCCCCTGGATCCTCACCCCTTTTCTGAAGTCATCAGACTGAGGAGGCTGTGGAGAATGCCTCCAGGAGTAGGAAGGCTGCATCCAAGCTGGCCTTTGGGGTGACCACCCAGTCAGATCAGCTCAGACAGTAAGGGAGATCATAATTGCAGGCCCCCCTGCCCTGTTCTCCTTTCTGACCCCTGGGACTTGTTAGCGGACTGCCCTGCCCTAAGCCCATCACTTGCACATTCATTCAGAGCCCCTACCCTACTGCTTCCACCATCTCACGTATAAAAGTCCAGTTAAGCGTCCGTTGGTGTGAACATGGCAGACCACAGCTGCTGTCCATGAGCCGCACCTCAAGGCCATGGTGGTTTTGGATGGCCAGGAAAGGGATCTAGGGCTTTCAGATTCTCAGCTAGGATTAGAGGAAATGGCTCTCGGTGGCTAGCTCCCTGATACCCACATTCACAGCTCTCCCCACCCTGGGCTCTCCCTGCATTTCCCTGCCCCATCCCTATCCTCCCTAGCTGGTCAGGCCCTGTTTCCAGCAGCCCTACAGATTGGAAAGGCCATGTTCCAAGATCAAGCCAGTGTCATCTGAGCGTGCTCTCTGTGAATGAGGTCCAAAGCCCGCATTTTGGGGAGCTGAGTGTGAGCCTCACACTGAGGTAGACAGATGCCCCATCTCTCCAGGAAAGAAAGAACACATGCCCAGAGACCACAGACCTGCCTCAAGGAGGGCAATAAGGGCCATAGGCCTCATAGGCAGATCCTGCAGGTGGTTCCCTGCCCCAGCTGTCTCACCAGGGAGTGAGGAATGGGGAAGCAAGGAACCTTCTGTAGCACAGGAAAAACTTCGTTGTTGTCAGATGAGGTGGCTGCCCAGGAGAAAGTGGCTTTAGTCTTTGCTTATCTAACTTTACTTCTTTCAGCTTCCTACACTGACCACTTCATCTTGTCCAAAGGCAGAGCAGTGAGCAGGTCAAGATGGGTATTGTGCCAGCCCAACTCAGGACCGTCCTGAGGAGTAGGTGCATCATGCTGAGGAGATGAGCATCCATTTTAATGGCTCTTTTAAAAGAAAGCAAAGGACATGTGGAGGAGGAGAGTATGTGTCTTCTGTAATGCTCAGCACTTGGGCCAGGCATACTCCAGGCAGGACATGTTTGCGAGAGCTCAAGAGGTGGCCAACTCCAGGGTATGAGTCTCTACCTGAGGCCTTGCAGTGGGTTTCCTGGGTGTGCAAGCCTGAGTGTAGGATCTGTTATGTATATATTGGAATGTTTTAACTTATAGCCTGTTCCAGTTTGCATGGAAACACAGGTCTTCCTCAGTTTCTTTGTTGCATCTGGAAAGCAGTCCTGTCTCGGGCCAGCACCAAGGCTGACGCTCAGAGACATGCCAGTTGGCAGTTCCCTCTACCCCTCCGGTCTCCAGTCTGGCACTTCCTATGGAGGCCATCTGCTTTAGGGGGAAGGTTCCTTGTGCCTACAGTGTGTCCTTCAATGCCAATGGCCGGGCTCCACAGTTGACACGGGGTGGCCCCATTTAGGGGCTCTTGCCAGGGCTGAGTGTACAGAAGCAAATATGCAGTGAGTAAGCCACTCACTCCCCACACAGGCCTGCAGTGTCCTTTCCCAGGGAAGGAACCAGGGACAACAGGATTGTCCAAGTCTGTGAACTTTTTGGGAACTGGAAGTGTTTAACTTGAACCCAGGAGCATTTAAAGCTTTATTTATTTATAGCTTCTTATTAAAAAAAATGTTGAGAAGAAATCTTTGGTTATTCATACAAAAAATGAGTTGATGGAAAACAAGTTATAATCATCTAATTGTTTTTGTCTAGGGCAAGAGTAAATGTTAGCTGATTGAAATAAACCCTGAAAAGGAGCCTTGGGTGTGCTGTGGTCTGTGGTGACAGCAGTCTGCCCAGTATTCAGTTTGATATTCAAAATGTACATCGGTGAGCACAGGACTTGACACAGGAGCAGAGGGACTTCCCTCAGGTGCAGGCGGCCCAAGGAGAGGCATTAAACACTCTATTTCACTGAGTAATGCTTTGTGAAAGTAAGAGATGTGATTATCACGGCCATAAAGAATAATTTATTGATTTTTAACCACCGCAATTGAAAAAATGAGCCCAGCTGAGTGTTAGGGTGAGAGAAATGCAGGCACCACGTGCTTGCATTTTAAGCTTTTAAGTGGTTCATACCTCAAGGCCTAAAGGCATCTCTTCCCCTTCACAGAATCTACAACTGGAATCTGTCTGGACTGTGCACACAGGAGAAGGAATTGGTGGGAGGGGCCAGATGGCCTACAGAAGGGGAACGGCAGACCCACCAAGTAGACAAAGGGCAGAGCAGAAACCAGGACCTGGTCAGAGCCAGTACCCAGAGAGTGCCACTTCCTGGTCGCTGGAGGCAGCGACCAGGAGGTGGCATACATGGGAGATGCAGAGGAAGGCAGACAGGGCTGCCCCCTTAAACTCTATCCTCAGATCCAAAAACAGACAATGCTCTTGACCATCTGGTCCCTGATCCCTGTTTAATAACAAAGTAGAGTCTTGCAAAGGAAGAGCATGGTGTGGAGAAACCTGCACAGAGACCTCTCGGGACACTTAATTGGGGCCCTCAGCCGGCGGCTCCTTCAAGAACTCATGATGGAAGTGCCTTCCACTCAGGGGAGGGAGGCTCCATTCAGCTCTGTGGGGCCAATGTGAGATGAGACAGGTGAAATCAGTCCTGAGAACACCTATCCCTAAAGTGGGGATTTCATTCTCTTACCTGTAGTAAAATGGAAAACTACTTCTAAGTCTGATTCTGAGACCCAGGAAGCTCCTGGTCCCTGCCTGGCTCCTCACCCCATCCCTGCACTTACCTGTGCCAACCCAGCCTATTGATCCCACCCATCCACTCATGTCCCTCTGCCCTCTTGCATTGCTGGGCAAGCCTTGCTCCGTGGGTCCCTAGGTTTGGACAATTCCCCCTCCCTTTGTGACGAGTTGCCACCCAGCCCCATTCCACCCCATTCCTGCTTCTCTTACTATCCCTCTTCACACCCAACATTTCAGCTTTGATGAGCAGTTGCTACTCCCTGGGGTGGGCCTACTACCTACATGCTTCCCTAGATCTTCACATTCAGAACCTTCAGGCAAACACTTGTCCTCACATGGTGCTCTGTGCCTAGTTAACTTCTCCGTAGGGCAAGTAGTCCTGACCTGTTCTGCCTGGACATGGTCCACTTTGCAGTGGCACAAAGAAAAGTCCATCCTCTGGCCCTCAGGCTCCCAGTGCAGAGCACTCAGGCTCCCTGGGGGCTGCTGGCCAACCTTGAGGGGGAGGAGCTTGCAGTCCCCTCCAGGGCATGCACCTGGTCTCAGGGACTTCCAAGACTAGGAGGCCTCTGGAAGGCACTGGGTACATCAATGTTGTGGGGACCTTTTACCCAGCACCCTTTCTGGCTGACCGAGTCCCTTCTTTACACGTTCCCCCCTTAGTGGACCAAGATAGGCACCTAGGCCCCTTGACAAGGCCTGACTTGGAGGTCTTCACCTCATTCCATGAAGACCCTGCTGTTGGGAACGTGGCCTTGGCTCTCCACTGTAGCTCAGCACAGAGAAATCTTCCAGGATTTTAGCTTTGTTGTCAGATCAGGGTTTAGATTCCGGTTGGATAACTGACCTGCTCTGTGAAATGGAAAGGTTGCTGTAAGGATTCATCTGCTTCTGGAGAAGGAACAGACCTGGGCATGGCATACCTCATACTGCCTTCATCTCCGTCTCCAACCCCAAACACAGACAGGCTGCCACAAGGAGACTCGTTAAAAACAGTCCTGACCTGGCTGGTGTGGGTCAGTGAATTGAGTGTAGGCCTACAAAGAAAGGTGGCTGGTTCGATTCCCAGTCAGGGCACATGCCTGGGTTGTGGGCCAGGTCACCCGTTGGGGGAGTGCAAGAGGCAACTGATCGAAGTTTCTCTAACACATCAATGTTTCCCTCCATCTCTTTTTCCCTCTCTTCCTCTCTCTCTAAAAAAAATAAAATAAAATCTTAAAAAGAAAACTTTAAAAAGAAGTCATGCTAAAAAAAAAGGCAGTCTTGACCCTGCCCACCACCAAGTCACACCCACTTCACTGCCCACTGGTAGAGCAAAGCCATGTGGGCCTAGCTCCTCCTGTGGGCACATCTAAGGACTATTCTCTTTTTTTATTTCTCCTCGAAGGACTGTGAGGGGCTGGGAAGGACAACCTTCAAAGTCCCCAGCCTGCCAGCCCCATCCATCTCCACCTGGTCAGTGCCATCTTGTTAGGGTGGGTTACCCTGCCTTTTCTCCCATCAAATACTGTATAAAGGACCTTTCTGGCCCCATGCCAGCTGGGCCTCCCACTCCAACCCACCCAGGCCCAGGCTTTCTGGTGGGACCTGGGTTCCTGTGCAGGCCCAGCGGAGGGGTCTGAATTTACATAGCACTGCCCAGACTCCCCAAAACGTGCCCTTTTTAAAGAAACCGCTCACATCCTGACTTTGTTCCCATTCCCTCTGGAGAGTGATTGATTTTCCTTAATTTGTTGGTTCAACTTAATAGTCTCTCCTGGTTACAACCAGGATGTTAGGGGTCCCCCTATATTCTCTGGGTGGCATCAGGGCCCAGGGGACACTCCTGTCACCCAGTGATGGCTGGCTAGTTGCTCACACATGGCCTTCTCCACTGCCCCCTGCCACCTTATCAAGAAGGCTGTCAAACCCTGACCAAGACCACCAGCCTTTGTTCTCACTGACTGCACTGCAGAGTGTTCAGGGCAGTAAGAACTCCGTGTCACTGTCTCAGCTTGGGTGAGGCACAGATATCCTTCTGGGGGCTACTAGCCTGTTTCCTCTGATGCTCTTCTGATGAGCCCCTACATCAGCTGTCTTGGCCCTGCTACTCCTCTCTCTAGCCCCACCCCCTTTAACAGGTCCTTCTCAATCCCTCAGGCACAGGGTTTTTAACCTCACCTCAGACAGTTCCCCCACTCAGCAGCCATGGGATGCTGGCTCTGTTTAATTTGCCACACAGGTATTTCCACACCATTGCAACTGGGCCAGGCACGGTTTCTCCCTTAGACCACCTACGCTGTTTCCAAGGCCTGACCCTGGCAAAGGCCAAGGATGTGCAGCAGTGAAGCCCAGCGAGTCTCCCCGTCCCCACCCCAGCTTTCTACCATCTCTGATGGGCCCATTCTCACTGACTCCATACTCCTGCCCTGCTCTGAGGATCACTGGGACCCTGGGATTTCTCTGTCTCTGTGAAAAGAAACCTAAGGACTGTGGGAAACACTTAAAAAGCTGAGCTTTCAAGAAGAGGCCTCTCCAGAACTTGTGGGGACAGCCTAGCTCCTCCAATCTTGGCGGGCTGGCAGTGCTGCTTTGCTCTGGGTGGTGCTGCCCTTCCCCAGAAGCCTCAAGGCTGGATACAGGGCCCCCCTGAGCACATGAGCTTAGTGCTTGCACAGAGCCATCTTAGGGGACAGACCTATGGTATGACAGCCACACACAGGGGTGCTTGCTCTAAGGGCCCCTGGGCTCTGGCAGGATGGGCTTCCAGCTTAAATAACACATTGTTATTTGAGAAGCAGCTTGAAGCACAGTTCAGCTTTGTGCTCACAGAACACATAGAGACATGCTTCATGGGGCATGGCAGAATCTGCCTCTTCTCAGCTGGCACTCACTCCACGCAGGAAATGTTTTTCACTTCAAGAGATTTAAGACTCGGGCACAGCAAAGCCTGCTAGTTGTCCCTTGATATTTGTCTTAGCCTCCTTTCTTTACCTATCAATGGGAACACAGCCAGCCAAAGTCAATTAAGATTCCATACACTTCCCAGCCCTTCACAGTGCGATGTGGCTACACCACTACCCCAGCCAAACAATGTGCAGGTAATAACTGCAGCTTTGGAAAACAATCCTGAGCGAGGAGCAGTGGGCCCTGCTTCCTCTCCCCCTGCTAGGGATGTTCTGCTTCAAGATTGCCCACCTGCTGCTCTGAGCTCCATACACATGGGTGTGCTACAACACAGAATGAAACGGGGCTTTTTTTTCTGTATACCCTTGTGTACCTCTTGAATTTTGAAAAGTAAATGAATTACCTATGCAAAACAGACGGCTGAAAATAAACACAAAGCAAAATGGAAGATAAATGCTAAATTTATGACAGTAATTTTGCCAGAATTTGAAGAACAAGAGGGAGGGTGGGACTTGGGCTGGGGGAATAAGAGAACTTTAACTTTGTAACATTTTACATGTTATAGTTAGAAAACAAGCAAATTAAAGAATAATAAACTGCCACTTCAGGGTGGTGAGTCCATGGGGGTTTGTCATGTTATTCTTTATATAGTTCTGTATAGTTTTATTTTTCTCAAAATAAAATTATTACTAAAAGAGCCAGCACATGAGTCAGTGTTGAAGCTCAAGCTGCAACTCAGGCTTCAGGTTACTGAAACAGAAGGACTCAGCCAGACAGGACAAGGAACTCCAAGGTTGAGATGTGGGGCTGGGTAACGGGCTTCAAAAGGGTTTGTTTCCTGTCATTCTGCTGAATGAATGACAGAGCAATCATGCATCACCCAGAGTAAGCCCAGCCTCCGCACACATCCGTTTATCTCCACCAGAGGCCCAAGAGTAGGTGGAAATAACAGGCTCCCCATTTGGCCTCTCTTGCCACATGAATCTGGGGCTCCTTATTACTGACACTTGTCCCAGACTTATTCCAAGCAGTGAGGATAAAAGTTCTGGCTCCCTACGCAGCCTTTTCTGACACGACTTAGCAAGGACATTGGGGCCACATAACCTTTGCCAGTGGGAGGTAGGAGCTGTGGTATTGGCCTGGAGTAGAGTGATCATTGACTAGGAATTTTCTATTTGGTCTTTTGGCTAAGAGAGCAGGCTCTCTTGGGGCTTTTCTGTTCATTCTCATTGGCATTTCTAGGTTGCTGGCTGCTTCTGCTCCAATTCTGGGACACAGAGACAAAAAGAAAACCCAGGAGCTCATCATATCATTCCTTGGGTTTCAGGGTCCCTCACTGGTCCATCTTCTTTATCTTTTAGAAGATGATTGATAGATACATAGATAGATGTTAGATAATGATAGATAATATATATGTTACATACAGATAGGTGGATATTCTATCTAGATATATAAATATCTATATATTTCTGTCTCTATCTCTATAAAATATCCAGGGATTTCCATAGTAGTTAGCAGGAGAAATAGGGAAAAGTATGTCTACTTCACATTCCCAAAGGCAGAGGTTGCCTCTCTAGAAGAATTTTACTTTAACCAAGATGCTTTTGGACATGGTTATTCTTAACCTAGGACAGATGCCAACATTTTGTTTGATCATCTTAAGGGAGGCTGCATGCTGAAGGACCTCAGGCAATGTCTTGAGAAAGTTGACATCAGGACAAAACAAGTCCCCAATGCTCCCACCTTCTGCCAGCAGACTGTGCCCTCCTGATGCCTAATATTTCTGAGTTTCCCCAGCAAGAGGGAAAACAGACGTCCCTGACCCAGTGGCATTTATTTGAGGGCCAAGGTGATAGGCCAGATCTTTTCAGTTCATTTAGAGGATCCAGTCCTTGAAGGCCATTATGAGCTGGCCTTCCCTCTAGAGGATCCACTACCCTCAGGCCATTCCTCAAATGCTCTCTTGACCATCTGGCCTGAATGTACTGGCATAGGAACTGGTGTGAAATTCTACATCCAGCTCCTCCATGTGCCAGTTTGGGGCAAAAACACTTACTCTTCTTGAGTGTGGTTTCTACTGTAAAGGAGAGTTCAGGTGAGATTTGAGATGCAGGTAGGTTGTAGCTGTCTGGGCCACCCTGTGAGATGGTGTTTGTAGCTAGAGAATCAGTGGCTCCAGGATAGGAGAGTGTAAGTCTCCTGGGTTCTCAGGGGTATTGACTCCCAGTTGCCTAGTGGGATCTGCTAGATAAGCCGCCCTTCCTTGGCCTTCTCCACATCCTCATGTACATACTGGAGCTTTCAGAATCCCCTCCTGAATACTCTTCTTGCAGTTCAATCTTTGCATCTATTTCTGGGGGAACACAAACCTAGAGACCCTGATTTCAGGGCAGCCACCAGGAGTCCTCTTTCCATGATGCTTCTCCCTTGATTGAGCCACAGCAGTACTGAGGGGAGGCATGCCAGCTTTCCTGATACACCCAGCCTGAGGGTCAGGCCTACAAGGCAGCCAGAGGTCTGGCACTGTGAATATGACCAGCCAACAATGGATCCAGGGGCTCCTGCAGAGAAGAGTCTTTTGGGTTTTCTCTGCTTGCAGCCACATTACAAAAGCGCCCCCTTCTGTAACCCAGCTTATTCAGGCCAGGGCTCAAGAGGAAAATAAAGGTAGAGGGCTAAGGAGGGGGCAAAACAAGCCTAGTGATACCCACTAGAAAAAGCTATTCCTCCCTTAGGTCAGCGCACCCAAAGAAGGCATGCCTTATGGAGGGGCAGACAACAGCCATGCACTCATGTGATGTGCACATGCAATACATATTGCATGATTCATGTTTTATATGTTATATGCAATGCATATTATGTGCTGTGTTACATGCTATACATATTAGATGCTGTATATTTTATATGCCATACACATAGGATTGATGTGTATGTTATAGGCTATGCATGTTATACACTGTGTGTAACTGTAGCAGGCACTGTATTATGCGTTAAATGCTATATGTTATTATATGCTATACATATTCTGTGAATAATGTACTAATATTATTTACTGCATACTACATGCTGTATATCACATGTCGTGCATTGTGTGCCTCATGTGTGTTACATGTTATATGCATGTGCTGTGTGGTGCATATTGCATGTTGTGCATATTTTACACTATTCCATATTGTACATGTTCCACTCTGTACATGTTGTATACCATGTGTGTTACCTACAGCTCCTCACAGACACTGGTAGTTTGAGTCTGCCCATAGGAGGTACCCTCTCCAGCTCTAAACACCCTTTACTTCCAGCTATGGTTGCTGCTACAAGGTCCCAGGCCAGGCTCAGAGTCTTATAGGAGGGCAGACTCTGCTACTAGCTGGCCCTGGAGAGCACATGGCCTGCAGTGAGGGACCTCTGTGCTTTTTTATATCTGTGTCATATTAACGTATCATAATTTCTTTACCCCTTCTCCCATTGTTAGACATTGAGTTATTTCATATTTTTAGCTTTTTATAAATAGAGTTGCTTTAAATTATTTATGTGGACATATACTTTTATTTCTCTTGGATAAATACCAAAGAGTGGAATTTCTGGTCCATATAAAGTTATATTTTAACTTTATAACAAACTTCCAGTTTTTCAAAGTGCTTCACCCCCGCAGGCAGTAGATGACTGTTTCCATTGCTCCACATCCTTACCAACATTTGTTGATGTCAGTCATCAATTTCAGTCATTCCAGTAGTTGAATAGAGGTACAGCAGTTCATCAAATAACATCATTTCATTTATTTTAATATTGATGAGAAGAAAATCAATTCTTGGCCAGGACCACTGTCTGTGTGGAATGTGTGTGATCTACACATGTATGTAGTGGTTTTCTCCAAGGACTCTGGTTTCCTCCCACATCCCATGGATGTTCATGTGAAGTGGACTGGTGTGTCTGCATTGTCTCAGATGAGTAAGTGTGTGAGTGTAAGGGTGTATGTGTGTGTGAGTGTGTGAGTTTGTGTGTGTGTATGGTATGTGTCTGAGTATGTTTATATGATTGTATGTGTGTTGCATATGTGTGAGTGATTGTATATGTATGTTTGCATATGAGTGTGCAAGTATTGTGTGTTATGCATGTTCACATGTGTGTTAGCACATGTGAGTGTATGTGTGAGCACATGTGCATGTGTGCATGGGCATGTGTATATGTGAGCATGTGTGTTTGTGAGTGTGTATGTACGTGTGTGCTTGTGAATGTGAGTGTGTATGTCTTTAAATGTGTGTGAATGGGTGTGTACATGTGCATGCGTATGTAGGTGCATGTGTATTTGTGTTTGTGTGTGTGAGCGTGTGTGTACCTTGGACCCTGAGCTGTCAGGACAGCCTCTAGCCACCTAAAATCCTGAACTGGAAAGTCATTCTTTCTTGTTTTTTTTAATTTTTCTTAAATGTATATATAGCACACATTTATTTTAATGTTTAATATTAGTAGTGTCTTGGGTGTTTATTTAGAAGCTTGGTCTTTGTGACCAGAAATATGCCATAGGAACTTAATTCTTATTTATATTAATTAACCTGCGGGAAAATTGTTAGACTTCATTTGGCTTAAAGTCACAGTGCCCAAGAATCCATCAATGTCAAGTGAGGCCTTTCTGTCTCTCACGTGGTTTTTAATTTTTATTACCCAGATAAGTAATGATGTTAAGTAACTTTTTGAATGCTTATGGGTATCTGGATATCTTTTTTTTTGCAATGTGTCTTTTACTCAATTTTTTAAAAAATTGGATTGGTTGTCTTTCTCTTACTAAGTTGTAGGAATCTTTTATATAGTCTTGATAGGAACTCTTTGCCAGGTGTATGTAATTTTGAATACCTTCTCCCAGTCTTTGGCTTGACTCCCTTGATGAATTCTTTTGATGAAAACTTCTGAATTTTAATAAAAGCTAAATTATTAATTTTTGTTTTGCAGTTAGTTCTTGTCTTTTTTGGACAAATAAATGAAGCTATAAATGTTACATAAGACTTCCAGGAAGCCTCCTGACAGGAATAGGGCATGCCCTTCACTTTTCTCTATCTTGCTGCCTAGGACACAAATGTGATGGTTGGTACAAAGCACCCATCTTAAACAATGAGGTGATCTTGGAAGTAGAAGCCACAAAATAAAAAGAGCCGGAGACATCATGAGGACACCATACCGGCCTCAGGCCCCTCCCCACACAGCCACTAAGCCTTCCCTCTGGGCTGGAATTCGCCTTCACGCATTCAGGAAGTGCTCACTCCATCTCTAGGCACAGCAGCCATGTCACAGTCAAGAGTAACCAATACAACACTTGCCCTGAACTCAGGACAGCCACACAGGGCTGAGGACTAACGAGGTGTCTGCATTTGTATTTCTAAGTGAATTAATCAGCCTATCTGTGTCTAGCTTCAAAGCACAGCTAATCCTCCCTCACCCTCATCATTAGCACCCTGGTTCCCTAGATCATGGCAAGAGCCTCTT